GCGCATGGGACATGTTCCTGCATGGGTTGGCTGACCGTGTCCAGAGGGAGATCTACGCCCTGGACCTACCAACAACCCTCAATGGACTGATTGAACTGGCTCTACGGGTGGACGCTCGGCTGGCTAGGGTCGGGAGTAGAGCTGTATCCACCCGTTTTACAGGAGGAGACGAGGAACCACGGTCCAGCGGCAGGGATGCGGTCAGCCCAGTCTTCGATCACGAACCCATGCAGGTGGGTCGAGCTCGGCTTTCCCGGGAGGAGAAGGAAAGGCGGAGATCCCAGGGCCTTTGCCTATACTGTGGAGGCACGGGACATTACGCTTACAACTGCCCGGTAAAAGGCCAAGCCCGATAGTAAGCATGAGGCTACTATCGGGTGGGATCTCTGCCAAGAAGACCTCATCCACATCGACTCTCCTTCCGGTAAGACTGAGATGGTCAGCTCACCAGCACGATTGTCGAGCACTTTTGCATTCCGGGGCTGAAGGTAACTTTATGGACAGCACTTTTGCACACAGATTTCAGATTCCCCTCAAACCACTTCCACAAAGGATTAATGTACACGCACTCAACGGCCAAGAACTCCCCACCATCTCATTTATCACAGAAGACATCACCCTCATCACTTCAGGCAATCACTCTGAGACAATTAATTTTTACATTCTGGATTCACCCCTGGCAACCATTGTTCTGGGACATCCCTGGCTCATTCGTCACAACCCCCGAGTGGACTGGCAGAACAAAGCTATACTGGAGTGGAGCAAGGGATGTCATAAGTCTTGTCTTGTGTCTGCTTGTCCGTCTGTACCTGTTTGTGTGTTTCAGGAGGAGGTAGGGGATTTGTCTAACGTGCCCGAGGATTACCACGATCTGAAGGAAGTGTTCAGTAAGTCTCGTGCTGCTTCTCTTCCTCCTCATCGTCCCTATGACTGTGCCATAGATTTAATGCCAGGTAAGTCTCCGCCTAAAGGCAAGTTATACTCGCGTTCTATTCCTGAAAGGGAGGCTATGGAGAAATATATTTCTGATTCTCTGGCAACCAAGTTCATCCGTCCTTCCTCTTCTCCAGCGTTCTTTTTTGTGGGGAAGAAGGACGGATCTCTGCGACCTTGTATTGATTACCGGGGGCTGAATAACATCACAGTAAAGAATACTTATCCTTTGCCATTGATGTCTTCAGCTTTTGAGAGGTTGCAGGGAGCGTCCGTCTTCACGAAATTGGACTTGCGTAACGCTTATCATTTGGTCCGCATCAGGGAGGGGGATGAATGGAAGACTGCTTTTAACACCCCTAGGGGGCACTTTGAATATTTGGTCATGCCTTTCGGGCTGTCCAACTCCCCAGCAGTCTTCCAGGCACTGGTCAACGACGTGTTGCGAGGCATGATAGATCAGTTCATGTATGTTTACCTGGACGACATATTGATATTTTCTTCGTCTCTCCAGGAACATGTGCAGCACGTCCGACGAGTGCTTCAGAGGTTGTTAGAGAATGGGCTTTTTGTCAAGGCGGAGAAATGCGATTTTCATGCACAGTCTGTTCCTTTCTTAGGATACATCATCTCGTCTGAGGGAATGCGTGTGGACCCTGAGAAGGTTAAAGGATTAGTTCACTTTTGAAAAAACTTTTGCTGATAATTTACTCACCCCCATGTCATCCAAGATGTCCATGTCTTTCTTTCCTCAGTCGAAAAGAAATTTAGGTTTTTGATGAAAACATTCCAGGATTTTTCTCCATATAATGGACTTCAATGGGAACCGGATGGTTCAAGGTCCAAAAGATAGTGTTAATAACAGTTTTAGATGCAGCTTCAAATGTCTTTAAACGACACCAGACGATGAATAAGGGTCTTATCATGCGAAACAATCAGTTATTTCAAAACTTATTCCAAAAATGTAACTTTTCTAAGGACAAATGCTAGCCTTGCTATATTCTCTGAGGCGCGTTTGTAACGTCACGTATTAGGTACTTACGTTCAAAAGGTCACGGGCGACGTAGCCGGAAGTACTAGGATGACATGGGGGTGAGTAAATTATCAGCAAAAGTTTTTTCAAAAGTGAACTAATCCTTTAAGGCTGTGGTAGAATGGCCAAGTCCAGATTCCCGTAAGGCACTACAGAGGTTTCTGGGGTTCGCCAATTTCTATCGACGTTTCATTCGTAATTTCAGCCAACTAGCCGCGCCTCTGACTGCCTTGACCTCCCCCGATACTCCGTTCAGGTGGTCAGATACAGCCGAGGCTGTATTTGCCAAACTCAAGAGCCGCTTTGTTTCAGCTCCCATCCTCGTTGCCCCTGACTATTCACGGCAGTTCATGGTGGAGGTCGATGCGTCAGAGGTGGGGGTAGGAGCAGTCCTGTCCCAGCGTTCTCCCACAGACGACAGGATGCATCTATGCACGTTTTTTTTCTCATCGATTATCCGCAGCCGAACGCAATTACGACATTGGTAACAGGGAGTTGTTGGCAGTCAAGTTAGCGTTGGAGGAATGGCGTCACTGGTTAGAGGGTTCTGGGGTACCCTTTATAGTCTGGACTGATCACAAGAATTTGGAATACATCAGAACTGCTAAAAGATTGAACTCCAGGCAGGCTCGGTGGGCACTTTTTTTTGGACGTTTTGACTTTACTCTCTCGTACCGCCCGGGGTCTAAAAACATCAAACCCAACTCTTTATCTCGTATTTTTGATACTTCCGAACGCCCGTCTACTCCCGAGTGCATTTAACCGGAGAGTCTATTTGTCTCCACACTCGTATGGGAGGTCGAATCGAAGGTCAGAAGGGCCTTAGAAGGGGTAATGCCTCCGCCCGTTTGCCCACCGAACCGCTTATTCGTGCCAGAGGGATTAAGGTCGGACGTTATTCAGTGGGGTCACTGCTCCAACGTGGCTTGTCATCCAGGAGTTTATCGTACTAAGTTTCTAGTCAAACAACGATTCTGGTGGCCACTCATGGCTCGTAACATTCACAGTTTTGTTTTGGCTTGCTCGGTTTGTGCCACTGGTAAGACTTCCAATCGACCCCCATCTGGGCTCCTTCAACCGCTGCCAGTCCCTTCGAGACCCTGGTCCCATATCGCTCTCGATTTTATTACCGCCCTCCCACCCTCCCAGGGTAACACAGTAGTTTTGACTGTGGTGGACCGGTTCTCGAAGGTGGCTCATTTCATTCCCTTACCCAAATTACCCTCAGCTAAGGAGACAGCGTTAACAGTCATTGACCACGTCTTTCATTTACATGGCCTCCCGATGGACGTGGTCTCTGACAGAGGACCCCAGTTTGTGTCCAAATTTTGGCAAGAATTTTGTAAATTACTGGGGGCGACAGTTAGTTTATCCTCAGGGTTTCATCCCCAGAGTAATGGTCAAACCGAGAGAGCCAACCAAGATCTGGAAAGGGTGTTGCGATGTTTAGTCTCCAAGAATCCTTCCTCATGGAGCCAGCAGCTTTCCATGGTGGAGTATGCCCACAACACGTTACCAGTGTCGTCCACGGGCCTATCTCCGTTTGAATGTAGTTTAGGTTACCAGCCACCTATTTTTCCCAGTGTGGAATCCGAAGTTGCGGTCCCCTCCGCACACGCCTTAATCCAGAGGTGTCACCGCACTTGGACTAGAGCCCGTGAGACTCTACTCCAAGTGGGGGCGCGCACCAAGGCGAGGGCCGATCGCCACCGGTCTAAGCCTCCCAGATACGTCGTCGGTCAAAAAGTGTGGCTTTCTACTAAAAACATTCCTCTACGTTCCGTCTCTAATAAGCTTGCTTCCAAATTTATTGGCCCGTTCACTGTCACCAAATCCATTAGTCCGGTGGCAGTCCGCCTTAGTTTACCTCCAGCGGACAGGAGGGTTCACCCCGTTTTTCACGTCTCCAAAATTAAACCTGTGTTTCGTTCACACATTAATCCGCCAGTCCCGGTAAAAAATAAAAAATACTGTTGTGTTTTGAGGTATGAAAGAATGGAATAATTTGCCAAAACATATCCTGCTTACTAATGATGTCAATAAATTTAAATTATATGTAAAACAGCATCTATCAATATAATATGACTGAATGTTTATATTTATTTATATATGTGTGCGAATATGTATGTATATGTGTAGGTATGTTTAGGTGTAAGTGTAGAATGTGTTTTTTATATTTGTGTATATTTTTATGCCCGTATGAGGGTACATATGTACAAACCCAATTCCATAAAAGTTGGGACACTGTACAAATTGTGAATAAAAACAGAATGCAATGATGTGGAAGTTTCAAATTTCAATATTATATTTAGAATACAACATAGATGACATATCAAATGTTTAAACTGAGAAAATGCATAATTTTAAGGGAAAAATAAGTTGATTTTAAATTTCATGGCATCAACACATCTCAAAAAAGTTGGGACAAGGCCATTTTTACCACTGTGTGGCATCCCTTCTTCTTTTAATAACAGTCTGCAAATGTCTGGGGACTGAGGAGACAAGTTGCTCAAGTTTAGGAATAGGAATGTTGTCCCATTCTTGTCTAATAAAGGCTTCTAGCTGCTCAACTGTCTTAGGTCTTCTTTGTTGCATCTTCCTCTTTATGATGCGCCAAATGTTTTCTATGGGTGAAAGATCTGGACTGCAGGCTGGCCATTTCAGTACCCGGATCCTTCTTCTACGCAGCCACACAGCAAATTTGAAAGTGTTAAATTAACACACACAGTTTATATAGGTCCACACTAAATAGAGTTAAACTTACACTTTAAATAGTGTTACTTTTTTTACACTTGCTTAGTGTAAAAAAAAACACTGTTAGTGTTCACTGTTAACACCATTAGTGCCCCCCCCCCTCATTTACACTAAGTTAGTGTTGAAATAACACTAGGTGTGTCAATATTTTAACACCAAGAGATTTATTTCAACACTGATATAGTTTTCATACAAAACCCTGATTAAGGTAATTGTGTAATCAGTATTTGACTAAAAAAAATGTCTATGTGCATTCAGTTAAATCAGTCAACACACTGTATCAGTTTGAAATTTTATTTAACAGATGCAGCAATTACACCAGCACAAACAACATTCGCCATTAACATTCACCATCATCTACCCAAAACACTGCAGATCAAAAGGCCAGTTTAACTTCAAGCTGTTGGCTTTCACAAGTTCAATCAACTCACAGTCTCTGTACTTTAAATGCATGATAATGTTCTGAAAAATGTTCTGTGAAAAGTTTGTCGACAATAAAATACAGACTCTCGGAGACTCACTGTGGCCTGAAGGTGAAGAAGTTGACCAGGGCTTCCTCTTAAGTTGAAGACATAGTGAACAAAGTTCAAAGGCACTTAAGGAGCTGGTTAGGCACTCCAGAACAAGGGGTAAGGCACTTGTCTACAGCGACGTAAAAGTGGTCAATCCTGCCCTTGATCCTTCCTGATCCCAGAAGAAATGCCTGGTGGTCCTCCCTCCCACTGAGAAGGCCTTCAATACTGGTGCAAGGCTGAAAAAATAAATAAAAATAGATTAAACATACAGGGAAAAAAATATTACAAGTTAAATGATTAATGCATTAAACTTGGTGCTGGTAACTTGCTCAAATTCAAATAAACCAAAAAAAAAAAAAAAACTCAACTATGACGCACCGCAACACAATTTGTGCCTGACAAAACCAGTTGGTATCATGCTTTGTGTATTACAAATAGAAGTAAAAGATAACCATTAAAAGGAATCCCCACCACCACCAGAAAAACAAACAAAAACATTTGCTGAAAATTCTGTCATTACACACACACACTCAGGTTTTTCCAAACCTGTATTAATTTGTATTGCTGAACAAAAAGAAAAATGTTTTGAAGAACGTAAACAGGCTGCTTTCTTCAAAATATCTTCATTTGTGCTCAGCAGTACAAAGAAATATATACAGATTTGGAACAACCTGAGGGTGAAATTTTTGGGTGAACTATCTTTATGCTTGTCAGGTCAGAGACAAAATGTGCAGAGGGTTCAGTCCAAAGGACCTGAAAGAAAACCACTGCATTTTAGGGTTTAAAACCCAAATCTTAATTGAAATGTTCAAGACTTTCAACGGTATTGTAAGTCTTACCTTATGGAAATGCACAAGTCTGTCAACAGCCTCTGTTGGAAGGTCTTCTTCCTCAGAGGAGGCAGAAGATGCAACAGCAGCAGAACAGATGACATGTCACTGTCCCAATCTGAATAAGTAGATGTTAAGGGATTGGTGGGCAATTTAAGAAAAGAAAAAAAGAAAGATTTAGTGCTCACAACAAGAAACCAGAGCAAATATGAAATTATGAATTCCAATCATACCAACCGTTTTCAGATTCTTGTCCACCTGCTGCATTGAGAAGACATCGCATTTCTGCTGTTGAAGTAATAGACTTGGCTTCGTTGATGATATTTTGCTTGAATGCCGTCTCCCACCTCTTAGGAAACATGATGGATGTTTCAGCATTGAACAGCATAGCAAATTCCTGGTTAATCAAATGACAAAGTATATTACAGGATTGCTAAGATGTTAAAGTTTTAGTTGTCTGGTATTATTCAAGCACTTCCTCACCAACAGATTTTTTTTTCCAGTGAAGACTAAAATGGTGAAAGAATTATAAGGACAAGTTAACCATAAGAAAAAAAACATACGTACCCGTTCAGAATTTTCGGCGTCTGTGCTAAGTGTTGCTGACCAGATTGCTGTTTGATTTTGCACTGCTCTCTCGGTCGTCTTCATGGTCAGTTGACATTGAAAGAGTATCAGTGCATGTGCTGGGGTTGAGGATCTTGTGGGTGAAAACTCTTGACAGGGAAAAGCAAAACATAATTTTAAGGTTTTCTCTAAAGGTATTCAATCAAAAAGGCTTCGTCAAAATGTTATTTACTTCTGACGCATGAATTTAGCCTAATGATTCAGAAAGCTTTCGGATTTCAAAAATGTATTTAATTTTTGTTCTGAAGATGAAAAAATGTCTTAGAGGTTTGGAATGATATGAGGGTGAGTAATTAATGACATTAATTTTGGGTGAACCAACCCTTTAAAAATAAAAATAAGGATACATCCTTGTAAATTCTTATTCTGCTATATCTAGATCCAGTTGACACTTAACCACCAGATCCTTTTGTCCACCTTTTCATCACTTGATTTCAAACTTCAATTCCCCATTTTAGATATTAATTAACCCAAACAAATCTGTAACAATATTCAATAAACTCATAAGAGAGCACTTAATTGTATATAGCTAATGTTGTAGCCTGGACTATTTTAGACAATGTTTGCATTATTAGCACGTCATTGCCATCTCATGATGAATCTCTTTTTTTATTAGTGTCTGCTAAAGGTAAATGTGTTTCTGACTCAATTACATTTGTCCCCGGGATTATATCGGAGTCCTTAAAAGTATGTCTCAAGTGTTATTATAGACTTACCATCAGACAAACCAGCAGTAATATTTTCTTCAGAACATCTTACAGTTTGGCATAAATATGGACTGACTTCGATCAGTTCATGGAGGATGTCCTCTTCCACATTGGTGTCGGTGTCAAAGACTTGAAGAGCTGCTTTTGTTGCCAAACCAAATTTGCTTTTAACTATAACATGACAAAAAAAAATTATATATACACAGCTTTCATTAGTTAACACGGACTAAGAAATAATACTTCTACAGCATTTGTTAATAATCAATTTTCGAAAACATAAAAATCAAAAGTTGCACTATGAACTAAAATTAACAAAACAAGCAGTTCTACTTTTATTAACTAATCCTAAAGTTAGTTAACACATTTATGCTAACAAGGACACCTTATTGTAACATGCACAAGTCATAGGCCTATAGCAATATTGTATAAGTCTTAAGTCATATAGCAATATTGAATAAGTCTTAAGTCATATAGCAATATTGTTTATGACTCAAGTAAATTTCTAAGTAGCACAAGCTTCTTCACTTACCTTCATTTAGAAAATCTTGAAACGTACGATCGCGGAGCAATTTCACAAATTTACACCTTGCCTGATACTGAACTTTAACCAGCATGATGAAAGCTGTTGGTCAAGAAAAATGCAGATTATGAAGTTAATAATATTAAAGAAGTTCATACGAGCTGCTGTTGTAAGAAGATCCATTTGTTAACCCACAAAGTGAAGTTGCAGCAAATATGTATTCTTATCTACTTTCATGTAATGTAACATTGACAGCAGATGAAGCGCGCGTCAAAAGCGCGCGTCAAAAACGCGTGTCAAATGAGCAAACAGTTCATATAGAGTACACCGGCAGAAAGTTAGGCAAAACGCTTATAGTTATCTGATAGCTTATCTCCGTTGCCTTTTAACTTGTAGATCAGAGTAAACGCTATAAAAATACCAGACAACCGAAGCGGCGCGTTCAAGGTTCACGTAAAAAAAATAAAAATAAATAAAAAATAGATTCGCACCGTTACTGCAGCATACTTTAACAGTCAGAGATTATTTGTGGGACAAGTCTACTAAAATATTGGACATAAAAATGCATTCACAATGCCTTATTTTGGCTAAGCAAAAAACGAGCCCCAAGGGGTTATGTGTTATTTGCAGTGAACGTTAAACAAAATCAAAGAAAGTATGCCGTTATCTATCCCAGATTCTAGAACATAAGGTTAAAACTACTAACTACCATAAACTATACAAGTCTTACCTCAATTTGCCAGCGAACTAACAAAACGTCCTCGAGGTCGGATCGGTGGTCTCTCGTGTTCTAAAAGGAAATCATGTTAGCACTCAGGCAATGCTGAGAAATGTACTAGTATTATTCTAAATGGTGATAAATGTAAACTAAACATGAAAATTGGTTAAAAAATCAAGTAGTTAAAACATATTATACCTGTTTGAATATTCCTCTCCTCGTGGTCGTCCGCCATTAATCAAAAAGGAAGTAGGTGCAAGAACCGGAAATCGGATCAACTCATCACCAGTGTCAATTATGTCAACTCGCTGTAATTACGCTGACTCCGACCACTGAGTTACTCTGCAAGTGTTGATGCCATTCAAATTAACACCAGAATCAACACTTTTTAACTCTGATAATTTAACACCGTAAAAACAACTCTAAACTACACTGGATATTTTGCTGTGCATGATGTTGTAATTGATGCATTATGTGGTTTGGCATTGTCTTGTTGGAAAATACAAGGTCTTCCCTGAAAGAGACGATGTCTGGATGGGAGCATATGTTGTTCTAGAACTTGGATATACCTTTCAGCATTGATGGTGCCTTTCCAGATGTGTAAGCTGCCCATGCCACACGCACTCATGCAACCCCATACCATCAGAGATGCAGGCTTCTGAACTGAGCGCTGATAACAACTTGGGTTGTCCTTGTCCTCTTTAGTCCGGATGACATGGCGTCCCAGTTTTCCAAAAAGAACTTCAAATTTTGATTCGTCTGACCACAGAACAGTTTTCCACTTTGCTAGAGTCCACTTTAAATGAGCCTTGGCCCAGAGAAAACGCCTGCGCTTCTGGTTCCCGTTTAGATATGGCTTCTTTTTTGACTTATAGAGCTTTAGCCGGCAACGGTGAATGGCACGGTGGATTGTGTTCACTGACAATGTTTTCTGGAAGTATTCTTGAGCCCATGTTGTGATTTCCATTACAGTAGCATTCCTGTGTGTGATGCAGTGCCGTCTAAGGGCCCGAAGATCACGGGCATTCAGTATGGTTTTCCGGCCTTGACCCTTATGCACAGAGATTGTTCCAGATTCTCTGAATCTTTGGATGATATTATGCACTGTTGATGATGATAACTTCAAACTCTTTGCAATTTTTCTCTGAGAAACTCCTTTCTGATATTGCTCCACTATTTTTTGCCTCAGCATTGGGGGAATTGGTGATCCTCTGCCCATCTTGACTTCTGAGAGACACTGCCACTCTGAGAGGCTCTTTTTATACCCAATCATGTTGCCAATTGACCTAATAAGTTGCAAATTGGTCCTCCAGCTGTTCCTTATATGTACATTTAACTTTTCTGGCCTCTTATTGATACCTGTCCCAACCTTTTTGGGAATTTGTAGCTCTCATGAAATCCAAAAGGAGACAATATTTGGCATGGCAATTCAAAATGTCTCACTTTCAACATTTGATATGTCATCTATGTTGTATTCTAAATATAATATTGACATTTGAAACTTCCACATCATTGCATTCTGTTTTTATTCACAATTTGTACAGTGTCCCAACTTTTATGGAATTGGGTTTGTACAGTATGTCGATATGTGTATATACTGCATATGTATTTGTATATGTGTGTGTGTATTTTCTTTTCTTTTCATTTATTTGTTGTATTCTTTGTTTTGTTTTTAATGTACATATTTTTCAGGAGCCCAGGAAGAATAGCTGCAGCATAGCTGTAGCTAATTGGGATCCTTTCAATAAAAACTAAAACTAACCAATTCTCACCCAGGAAAACTGGAAGCTGCTAGCTAGGGACTGGAAGATGCTGGCTGATCTTGATCAACGGCTTATTTTTTCACCTGAGATTGCCACCACTAACCTACGACCAGATATTGTTTTGTGGTCTGGATCAGCATGCATTGTTCAACTCATAGAGTTAACAGTGCCATGAGGCATATGAGAGGAAGAAACCTCGGTATGCTCATCTGGCATCTGAAGCAGAACAGCGAGGATGGAGAGTCCGGTCGGGAAGTTCGGTCTGGGCTCGATCCATTGAGGAGTAATTATGATCAGGCAAAAAATAAACGGGCCAATCAAATTTCCAGGGCGGGCTTTATACGATGATGGACAGATGATCTGCAGGGACGTAATCATGACATTATCAAAGAGCGCTTAACTGTCTTCCCACAGAGATGACTGCAGCGGGAGAATTGAGATGTATAGATTCCGCTGTCGTGTCTGTTGTGAAATAAATCGACAGCGCATTCAGTTTAATAGACAAACAGAACTGCAATCAAGGCATTTGTCGATTGGAAAGATATTTTTGCCGTCCTTCCTACATGATTCGGGAAAAGTGTAACTTATCAGCTGGCTCTGACGGTCGCTAAGAAAATGGGACGTAATGAAAAGCCTGTGGTCGTTGTGGTTTCTCCTTTGGTGGCACTCATGGAGAAGTAAGTAAAAGAAGCAACACTCATTATTTAACTTCTAAAATAAATAAAGTAGGTATACGTTCTGTATTTGAAAACTGCGCTATGCAAAGGAGTTGACTTATGCGTTGCACTGATTGGTTGCACTGTAGGTCTGATTGTGCAGAGGGTTTTTTTTTTCCTGGTTCGGTTACGACACGCCTCATAATCAAAGCCCAATGGAGGAGTTTCAGACTCATATTCTCTCTTGAATATGAGTATGGCGAAGTCAGGCTACGTTGTTTAGGTTTTTCTGGCACACTCTACAAGCCGGTTCCTCAGAGACGTCGTATTCAGCGGCCAAGAGTTGCGTTGCACAGTAAAGAACTTATCTGAAGCAGCAGAAAGGAGCAGCAATTGGCTGTGGTTGAGACGAAAAGATTCTAGCTGGCTGTGTACAGGCCACCACGCTACGGTTTCATAGAATTCTTGAAAACTTGAAGAGTCTGTTGGTTTATTTGTATAAGTTCCTGTGGATATTGCGTGAATGACAAGTGGTTGGGCAGATATTGTGTTTTGCGATAGATGGTATGCCATACAGAACCGTTGCCACTGAAACTGCTTTAACGCACCAGTGGGGCTCAACAGCCTTAGTCAAACGGGTTGGCGCGTATGGTTGGGTTGCGGAGAGATTGTGATTGTGCTAAAGAGATGTAGAGGTCAGTAAGCTGGGCTGAGCTGTGTGGGGGTCGGAGGGGGGTGACTCTGGGTTTTCTGTCGAGCCCTCTTGAGGTGTTGTGGGCTAGTCGACGAAACACTGAGGATGGAAAGTGCCCACTTAAAGACCGTAGATGTTCCCTACTCGGCTCAATCCAGATGGTTGTCGTCCTGTAGTTGCAGCTGCCGCGTGTGCTGATGCACCAAGTACACTGCAGCCGTTAAAGCCGGACAGAAGGGGAGTCACACCACCATCAGCATGAAGTTTTAACATCTACTCTCGTGTAATGGAAATCTAGAGTGATCTGAGGCCCAATATCTGAGTTGCCGCACCTGTGGTGCTGTAAGGGAAGGATGTCAGTCAGTTCTTCTGTTTTTATATTAACAGTCTGTTGAAGCTTCTTGGCTGTCGCTCTGCATGTGTCGTTAGCCGATGATGTCACTCAAAGGCCTGGTGTCGTAGACTGGAATATAGGCTCTGCTGTTTCTCTGCCTCTTCTCTGTTTAAGCTTTTGAAAGATTCTGCCACAGTTTTGCATCTCAGGATTATCTCTTTGTTCTCAGGAAAATTCTCAAGTGAAAGTTTCACCTTTTCCAGCATTAAATCAGTCTTTCACTTTGCTGAGCTTTCAAAAAGTGATCTTTCTTTCAACTTCAGGAGGGGAGCTGAAAGACCATCACCCACTTCTTCTTCTTTCTGCAGTCATATTTGATGAATTTGAATTCCATTTCTGAGGATATTCAGGTCCAGCCCAGGTCAGGCGCTTCTGCTGCTGTTTCTGGTTCAAAATTGGCTTGACCTGAGGAATGCGGCACCTGTTGCCCATTTCCTGCACACGCCTGTGTGCGGTGGCTCTGGATGTTTCTTATCCAGACTCAGTCCACTGCTTCCGCAGGTCCCCCAAGGTCTGGAATCGGTCCTTCTCCACAATCTTCCTCAGGGTCCGGTCACCTCTTCTCGTTGTGCAGCGTTTTTGCCACACTTTTTCCTTCCCACAGACTTCCCACTGAGGTGCCTTGATACAGCACTCTGGGAAAAGCCTATTTGTTCAGAAATTTCTTTCTGTGTCTTACCCTCTTGCTTGAGGATCTCAATGATGGCCTTCTGGTCAGTAGTCAGGTCGGCAGTCTTGCCCATGATTGCGGTTTTGAGTTATGAAACAGGCTGGCAGTTTTTAAAAAGCCTCAGGAATCTTTTGCAGGTGTTTAGAGTAAATTAATTTATTCAGATGATTGGGTTAATAGCTTGTTTTGAGAACCTTTTCATGATATGCTAATTTTTTGAGAATTTTGGGTTTTCATGAGCTGTATGCCAAAATCATCAGTATTAAACAGCCCGTTCTCATCCTTTAACGTCATATAGAACGCTATATGACAAAACGGCGCTATACTACGCACATGGCACCCTTTATCGTTAATATAACACGCGAACCCAAGACGTTATAAATCCTTTAGCGTGAATATGACACGCACACCCTACCCCCCACACCTAAACTTAGCCCTCACAGCATGTGTTATATTAACGATAAAGGGTGCCATGTGCGTAGTATAGCGCCGTTTTGTCATATAGCGTTCTATGCCGTTAAAGGATGAGAAGGCGTTGGTATTAAAACAATAAAAGACCTGAAATATTTCAGTTGGTGTGCAATGAATCTAAATATATATGAAAGTTTAATTTTTATCATTACATTATGGAAAATAATGAACTTTTTCACAATATGCTAATTTTTTGAGAAGGACCTGTATATGGCAGGTTATATCCAGCATTGTCTGTTTTGAAACCAGCGAAAATTGCAGGTTAGTATAGAGCCGGTGTCGAAATATCAGTTTACATTTCCAGACATTAATTGTGCCATTAATTGTAATAATCCAGTGACATTTTTGAATGCACAAGGATTCAACACGGAGGTTGGATCTCACTATCATCTGAAAGTGCATCTGAAATTATATGAAGAAACAGAAAAAACAGAGACTAAGACCAGAAGAACTGCGGCAACGTTTCCAAAGACGCTTGAAAAAACCCGCAAAACTAAAAACTATGTGCAATACCTGGACAAAAGCTGTTTTAAACGTAAAGGGTACTAAACACCTATTGATTTGATTTAGTGGTAACAGTTTAGAATACTGTATCTTACTTACTGCAGAATTAATAAGGAATTATTGACGAACTAATATAATTCTTCATTAACTACTTCTTCACTACTGTTAACTACTAAGGAAGATGTGTTAACTAATTAGTATGTAATATAATTTTATGATTGTGTTAAGTATCAGTTAGTTGATCAATAACTAATGAATTCTGTCATACCTCCTGAAGAACTACTACT